TATATATATATATATATATATATATATATATATATATATATATATATATCAATAGTACATAATAGAGAAGAGTATGACACTGCTTTAACAGCGTTTTGCATAGTTTTCAACTTGTAAATATTCTATCAATATGTGAATAAATATATTCAAACTTTACCTTGTTTTCGTCTATGATTCTCCCTTAATCATATGACATCACCAATTTACCTGAAAATCGTATGTGTTCTTTAAAAAAGTTCTTTGAATACGACACGGTTTCACACAGTTTTACCAAACGTTCGCATGTATGTGGCGGCAGCACCAGGTTGTAACTACGGGATGCTGGGGGCTGTTGTGGATATTAGGTAAGCACAGTAACAACACTTGTTTCGCTTCCTTATCATCAGGAACACGATGGAAACACAGCTAAAATCAGCTGCCAGCTCGCCGTGAGCACACATGTATTTTTAGCATGCTGGAAACGCTACACGCTGAATACAATTCGATGCCTAATAATCCCCAACATCTCCCAGCGTTCCGTCATAGACAATAGAAATTAGAACACTAATGCCATAATAAACTTGCGCCGAACACATGCGCTCATTTGGGAAAACTGTGTGAAACCGTGTCGAATTCAAAGAACTTTTCTGAAGAACACATACGATTTTCAGGTATTAAAATTGGTGGCGTCATATGATTAAAGGAGAATCATAGATGAAAACAAGGTAAAGTTTGAATATATTTATTCACATATTGATTGAACATTTACAAGTTGAAAACTATGCAAAGCGCTGTTAAAACGGTGTCATACTCTTCTCTATTATGTACTCTTGATATATATATATATTCATTTTCAATGCTAAAAGCCAATTAAGAATAAAAATAATCTTTAATTATTTACATGATTTGCAGATAGGTATATGGGTCTCTTGCATACTTCATGGTTTATAAGGGTATCACCTCATTTACATTTGTGAAGTAATGTACTCTATGTTTGATTTACACTTACAGGCTCCAAGGGCAAAAATGAACCAGCAGCGTTCAAGGCGATTTAGAGCATCAAAGGAAACTGCGTAAGATTTATATAACCTGTTGCACAGGTTGTTGAGGTTGGGGAGAAAATACATGCAGTTAATGTGCAAGCAATTTTGAGAATTTATTTTGTAAACACCATTACTTTTAGTGATAAATAGCAATGATTTAATAATAAATTTAAATAATAATACTAGAGAGAAGAGAACAATGGTTAAACCATATCATGAGTATCTGACCATAAGGTCAATGGCAAAAAATTATCAAAAATAATAACTATAAAAAAATGTTCAGTTATCACAGATTTCTACGTGTTATTTACCTGCGACTTGATTGTACTGTCAGTGAGAAGATGGTAGAGGTGAAGAAGATAAGAGATGATCTTCGTTCTAAAGGAGCTTCGCTGCCACCCGAAAAGCAAGATACGGAACATTTTGACAGCAACTGCATTACTCCGGTATAGAAATCAAACCTGCACACATCACATTGCTACGAATACTTGTGACTTGATATCAACAAGTCGCGAGTTGATTGAAGTATGTAAAAGATACTGTCGTCACAGAAGTATACAAACCAAACCAACACATTTTACATTCCTATGTATACTTGTTATTTGTTGTCAGCAAGTCACCCATTGAGTGAACTACTTAACAGATGGCGTGCGTGTCCTATTCGTAGGGAACTCCATTTATGGATCGACTAGCCACCTGTCTGCGCTACTACATCTATGAGCGTCTGAACACAGATGCTGGCTGGAAGGACATTGAAGTGATCCTGTCAGATGCTAATGCCCCAGGAGAGGGCGAACACAAAATAATGGACTACATACGAAGGCAACGAGGTAGGCCGTGCATTTTTATGCAGTGACGTAAGGTAATGTCGCTTTGTTCATCCATTTTTAATTGCTAGATCTGCGTGGATAGGAAGTAATTATTTTAATTATCAAGGTTTATTCTGCCGTTTTTCTTTCAGATGTTCAGTGTCTTGTTCACTCAGTTTATTCATTTTCTCACACCAAACTTTGCTGAACATTCTCCTCATTACTGGAGTTGTTTCTAAGCAGCCTAGCGTGTTTACGAGTAGATATAGAAGTTCTTGAAGATAGGTCACGCATGTAAAATGTAATAAGGTCTATCCGGCCAACAGAGTTTCGTGTAGGTTTTTGATGCTGCATAAGTTTGCCTGGAATACCAAGTGTTTTATGAAAGTGATAAGTAGCTGTGGATGTCTTTGGCAGACAGGGGAGATGCGCAGTATGATTACATAGTTACACGACATGTTATTTTCTTTCACCACCAGCGAATCCTGATCATGATCCGAATACAAAACACTGTCTCTGTGGAGCTGACGGTACGTAAGAGACACCCCTGGTTTTATCTACCAGTTTTATACTGTATTTATATAATGTAATATATCAAGAGTACATAATAGAGAAGAGTATGACACTCTTTTAACAGCGTTATGCATAGTTTTCAACTTGTAAATATTCTATCAATATGTGAATAAATATATTCAAACTTTACCTTGTTTTTGTCTATGATTCTCCCTTAATCGTATGACACCACCAATTTACCTGAAAATCGTATGTGTTGTTCAAAAAAGTTCTCTGAATACGACACGGTTTCACACAGTTTTCCCAACAATTCACATCTGAGCGGCGAATGTTTATTATCGGATTAGTGTTCCATTGTCTATGACGGAACGCTGGGTGCTGTTGGGGATATTAGGCATTGAATTGTATTTAGCGTGTAGCGTTTCCAGCGTGCTAGAAAGAAATGTGTGCTCACGCGTGCTAGCAGCTGATTTTAGCTGTGTTGCCATCGTGTTCCTGATGATAAGGAACCGAAACAAGTGCTGTTACTGTGCGTACCTAATATCCCCAACAGCCCCCAGCGTCCCGTAGTTACAACCTGGTGCTGCCGCCGCATATCAACATGCGCCGCTCAGATGCGAATTGTTGGGAAAACTGTGTGAAACCGTGTCATATTCAAAGAACTTTTTTGAAGAACATACGATTTTCAGGTAAATTGGTGGTGTCATATGATTAAGGGAGAATCATAGACGAAAACAAGGTAAAGTTTGAATATATTTATTCACATATTGATAGAATATTTAAAAGTTGAAAACTGAAATATGATCAAGGTCAAGGTAAAGGTCAAATAAAGGTCGCAGTGACCTGGTTTTGGGACGCTGCCCACCTTCTCCCCA